TTTTTAATATTTTTCTTTTTTTTTTGTTTTATGTGTATGAGTGTATTGCCTACATGTAGGTAAGTGCACCTGTGTTGTGCAATGCCTGTGGAGGACAGAAGAGGCTGTCAGATCCCCTGGAACCGGTGTTAACAGACAGTTGTTAGCTGTCACGTGAGTGCTGGGATTTGAACCCGGGTCTTCTGCAAGAACAAACAGTGTTCTTAACCGCTGAGCCATCTCTCCAGCCCTAATAAGAGTATTTTTTAAAATGCACAATCCTCTTGCCTCCCTGGTGCTGGGATTACAGGAGTGTACTACCACACCCAATTTCAGGTTCTTTCCCAATAACTAAAAATCATAACTCAGGGCTGGAGAATGACTCAGCAGTTAAGAGCACTGGCTGCTTTTGGTAGAGGACCCAAGCCCAATTCTCAGCACCCACATAACTGCTATCAACTCTAACTCCAGTTCCAAGGGATCTAAAGCCGTCTTCTGAACTCTGTGGGCATTGCATGGCACAGGTGCACTTAGATACATGCAGGCAATACACTCATACACAGTAAATGAAAAAAAGTTTTAAATAAATACATTAAATAAATTAAATAAAAATCACAGCTCAGGCTGGAGAGATTGCTCAGCAGTTAAGAGCACCCACATGGAAGCTTACCCTGCCTGAACTCCAGTTCCAGGAGCTTCAAAGCCCTCTTCTGACCTCTGTGGGCTCTTCATGCACTTGGTGTACATGCACACACATATATACATAAAAAATATATATTTTAATAATATAAATATATATATGTAATAGTAAATATAAAATATTCCAGTTTATAATTACAAATAAGAAATAAATAAGGATTCTTGACTTATATTAAGAATATATTTTACACTGGGCACGGTGGCACATGTCTTTAATCTCAGCATTCAGGAGGCAGAGGCAGGCAGATCTCTGAGAATTTGAGGCAAGCCTGGTATAAATAGTGAGTTCCAGACCAGTCAGGGCTACAAAGTGAGGCCCTGTTTCAACCAAACCCCCTGAATATAAACCAAACCCCGCTGAAGAGATAGCGCAGCGGTCCGCCAGCGTTGCATGACACGGGTGCACTTACCTACATGCAGGCAATACACGTATACACGTAAAATTTAAGAAAAATTAATTAAAAAAAAGAATACATATATTGTAATTGAAATTAAATATTGAGACTGACTATAACTCATGGTAGAGCATATAGGAATTCCTAAATTCAATCTCAAGCACCAAAATTAATTAGTTAATTAACCAATTAATTAAATGAATATTGACAATCTCTAACCAGTTCTCCAAATTTAAATCATTCCGATAACTGAACAATACCTAACTCAAGGTAAAACACATTTATTAATTATTATTACTCTATGAACTAGGATAAATTTTTTTTAATTACTTTTAAAGATAGGAGTCTGGGGCCGGGCATGGTGGCGCACACCTTTAATCCCAGCACTCGGGAGGCAGAGGCAGGCGGATCTCTGTGAGTTCAAGGACAGCCTGGTCTACATAGTGGGTTCCAGGACAGCTGGAACTACAGGGAGACCCTGTCTCAAAAAGAACAAAAAATAATAATAATAATAATAAAAATAAAATAAAATAAAATAAAAAAAGATAGGAGTCTAGAAGTCTTACCGTGAGCTGTGAAGTTTGTGCAGTTAACTGGTTCTTGGGTGGCATTGTTTATTTTTGGTTCTTTACAAATGTATGTTTAAAAAAGTTAAGGAAATATGAACTGCACTTCCAACACAAATATATTAAAATACTCCTGTAGATACAAGTAAAGAGAGACTACCAGTCCATGCAGGTCAACAAGTTCAGGTACAAATATGCCTTTCGTATTTCAAGATAATATTTGAACATTAACTTATTAATGGGAATGGAAAACGCACATAAACACTTATTAAGCCTGGCGTGGTGGCGCATTGCCTTTAGTCCCAGCACTCGGGAGGCAGAGGCAGGCGGATCTCTGTGAGTTCAAGGCCAGCCTGGTCTACATTGTGAGTTCCAGGACAGCTGGGGTTACAGGGAGACCCTGTCTCAACAAAACCAAAAAAAATTAATTAATTAATTAAAGCTCTAGCAGATGATACCATCTTTAAATAACATTAGTTAACAAATAAACACAAACCTAGAAAACTAAAGTTAAAAACCTTTGCCAAGTTGTTTTGTTTGTTTTGTTTCGTTTTTGATGTTGGTTGTTTGTTTCTTTTTTTGTCTTTTTTTGAGATGGGGTCTTCCTGCAGCCCCAGATGGATTGGAACTCACTATGTAGACTAGGCTGGCCTTGAACTCACAGAGATCTGCCTGCCTCTGCCTCTGATGCTGGGATTAAAGGTGTGCGCCACCAGGCTCAGCTGTGCCAAGGTGTTTTACGAAGACCCCAGATTAAAAACAAATCAGTTTCCGCTGACCTAGACTCAACTATTTTACACTTTATTTCACATAACACAGACTTGTGAGGTAGCTATTATTATCACAGAAGCACGATTTTGGAGTGATTTATCCAATCATGTAAAAGACAGGTAGTAAAATCAGGTATCCTGATTCCAAGTCTAAGAACTTTACATTAAACTGCAGGAAGATGGCTGTCTTCTGTATGGTAGGTCACTCCAGCAGGATTTCAAGTTTTGAAAACCTTTCTATAATATATGCTCAAAACACTCAAGAAAGACTGTTTATCTTTTAAATATTTTATGGTTCACACTACCAAGGAATGGATATGACAGCTTGAACCTTTTCTAGGGCACCTTAATTTCTACCGGAAATGTCACAGTCCTATGGCCTCAGTCACTTCTCTCTAGGATTCAGCATTTCACAGTGCTCAGTTATTTCTTAGACGGACTCTCCCGTTTTAAAGACAATGACTAAATTACTAGGTCAGCATAATGGCATTTAGCAAGTTAGTCTGAGAAAATCTAATGGCTGCCTCACCTCAACTCACACCAATATGTTACAGAACTTTCTTACAGATTTTTTTCTCAGAATCTTTCTTTCTTCTAAAGGATTGAGTATCTGGTACGGAACTGCTCTATCATCTCAGTACTCAAAAAGTTGTGGAGAAAAGTAGGTATTTGAGTGTAACTCACATTTCATCTTGTTGTTTACTTCATCCTAATTCAGCTTCGGTTTCCTTGTCTGTAAACAGCTAACACAGAATCACAACTCTGCCAATTTAGTTAAAACAAAAGTCCTTTAAGTTGGTGTCATGTTATCAGCTTTAAATACTCATGAGAAAATAGACTTTAAATAACTTACCCAAAGCCAGTCAACACTCTATCACAGAGGGTTCAGGAACCCCCAGATAGTCTGAGAAGCTACTGGCAGCTGGCTTCTGGGGGAAGGAGAGTCAGTTTTCTTTACCGGTGTGGCCCCAGGTAGTTTGACTACTCTCCAGTGTATTGCCCCACGCCCAAGAGTATATATATGGTCAGCACTTATGGACAGTGGCTTATACAAAAAAAAAAAAAAAAGGGACATGATGTTGGGAGGGTGTGGGTGTGCAGCAGTGGGATGTGAGGTGTGTATCTGGGAGGAATAGGGGGACGAACGGGGGACGAATATGACAAAAATACATTATAAGAAAGTCTCAGCCAGGCGTGGTGGTGCACGCCTTGTATATATAGCCATATAACGACAGATGATAGATATAATTTACCCCAACTTTTTACAAAGAATTCCCCAGGCAGTCTATCTGAAGATTGTAACATCAATGAGAAATGAAGTAATATGCTCACTAGTAATTATCTCCCTCGACCCCTGCACACTTCCAGAGAAGCGCCTAACAATTTTTGTTATTTCTATTATCGAATGGACAAAGCCTGTGTATTTTGAATAAGAAGGCACACTGGCAAATACTCGGTGAGTCTGGGTGGCTCCAACCCTACTCCCTGCTGGGGCAGGCACGCGGGGCTCGAGCCCTCTGTCCTCCCGGCCCGGGGTCCCTCGGTCCCTAGAGCGGCTTTAGAGGCCACGGCCCCATCTCGCAGCCCGTGTCAGCCTCCGAGGGAGGGGGCTCTCAGGAGGATATTGTCCCACTCGGAGGTCCTCGCACTTGGGCATCTCCTCGGCCCCCGCAGCGGTCCCCCAAGGTCCCGCGGCGACAGTCACGAGCCACAGGACGCGGAGGTGAGGGGCCCCAGCCTGCGGAAGAGCAGACCCCGAGGGCTCCGAGCGACAGGCGGCAGCCATGTTGGGCTCCGCGCGTCGGGCTTCCGGTTCCGCTTCCCAGGCGGAGGCGGTGCCTTAAAGGGGCCGCTGAGGGCCGTGCGGGTTAGGATGCCAGTTGTCTGGGAGAGCGTTTAAAAACGTACGCATCCCGAGGCCCTCTCAGCGAGAGTTTCTTGCCAGTCCTCATCAGGAGCCGCGATTGGCCGGGGAGTAGCCCAGGGTAGCCCGGAGCGCTCACTGCGGGCGTTCCCGCGGCCCCTAGTTCTCGAGTGCTTGGTCCTCTCCAGGAGGCTGCAAAGGATGTTGACGTGAGGCTGGATGGATATGTGGTTCCTGGATGTGAATCTTAGTCACTGAGTGACCCAAGTGAAATTAAACTGATGCTTGTAAGATTTCAGGCTGTGGTCTCACCCTGCTACCCTAGATGATGCTCTGAGAAGGCTGCCATAGACAGCTCTTAGGAAATCGGTAACACAGGCTCTTTAAAAATAATTTAGGAACCCCTTCAACAAAAAGAATAGTTTATAACCAGGCGTGGTGATGCACGCCTTTAATCCCACCACTCGGGAGGCAGCGGCAAGTGGATCTCTGTGAGTTCGAGGCCAGCCTGGTCTAAATAGCAAGTTCCAGGACAGCTGGGACAACAGGGAGACCCTGTCTCTAAAACAAAACAAAACAAAACAAAAAAAGAATAATTTATAACTACATTGAAAAGTTGAAGGGTTTTGCTCTGTCTCTTCTTTCTAAATTTCCATATGTCCAGGCTGGAGAGATAGCTCAGCAGTTAGCACCCACATTGTAGCTAACAACCATCTGTAACTCCAGTTCCAAGGGATCTGAACCCCCCTCGTCTGACGTCCGTGGGCGTTGCCTGACACGGGTGCACTTAGATACATGCTGGCAATACACTCATACACATAAAATAAAAATAATACATAAAATACTAAATTTCCACATATATTTCAAAATACTGTAGGAGGGAATTTTTATTGAGACAGGCTCTTACTTAACCCAGGTTGACCTGATCCTATGTAGCCCAAGCTGGACTCAAACTCATAACAATCCTCCTGCCTCAGCTTCCAAGTGCTGAGATTACAGGTATGGAGATTACGGGTATGAGCCATCATGCCTCACCCTTCCTTCCTTCCTTCCTTCCTTCCTTCCTTCCTTCCTTCTTCCTTCTTTCCTTCCCTTTTCTTTCCTTCTTTCTTTCTTTCCTTTCTTTCAACTGGCCCTTACTGTGTAACCTAGACTGCCTTGCTAGCTAGGGTTGCCTGTGTGCACCACCACACCCAAGAGACTGGGAGTTTATTTGTTTGAACTTTCATTTACTTGTAGGAGGGAGGTATATATGTGACACAACATTCACATGTGGAGGTCAGAGGTTAACTTGTTGGAGTCAATTCTCTCTTCCGTGCAGGTCCTAGATATCAAACTTCAGTTTTCTGGCTTAGTAGCAAGTACCTTTACTTGCTGGGCCATCTTGCCAGGCCAGGGAACTTTTATAATAATAATAAATTTTAAAAACTGTCTTTTTAAAAGTGAAGGGTTAATCATTTATGTCTATCATCTAAAAATACTTTTGGTATACCTCTTGATCTGCATTAGCACTAACTTTTTTTTTTTTTGTCTCTTGGCTTTTTGAGACAGGGTCTCCCTGTAGTCACAGCTGGCCTGGAACTCCCTATGTAGACCAGGCTTGTCTCAATCTCACAGAGATCTGTCTGCTCTGTCTCCCAAGTGCTAGGATTAAAGGCATGTACCACCACACCCAGCATTACTAACTTTTTGAAGAATTATACTTTGCACTGGTTCCAGGAGTTTGAGTAGCACCAGAATCACCTGAGTGTGAAACAGAAAGATGAGCTGGGCATGGTAGCACACATCTTCAATCCCTGCCCTCAGGAGGCAGAGGCAAGTGGATCTCAGCAATAGAGGCCAGACTGTATCAAGTCCCAGGCCAGCTAGGGAGACCCTATTTTAAAAAAACAAAAACAAAAGTAAAAAACCAAATGATGAGCCAAAGCAGGGAATGCCCCTGTAAATCCAGTACTCGGGAGGCTACAGCAAGAGGATCCACAGTTCTAGGTCAGCATGGATGCACAGTGAGACTCTGTTCTGTCACAAAACAAAACAACTCACCACTGAGTTTCTGATCCAGAAGATTAAGTGGGGCTTTGCATTTCTAAAGAGAACCTATTGTAATTCAGGAATCACACTTTGACAACCCTGATAATGTATAATAAAAAGTATCATGGAATATTCTGGAAGACATGAAACTATTTGAAAATAATATTTAAGTGTTACCACTATGCTTATTTTTTTTAATCAATATGTAGGTTATATTAGTTACTTTTCTCTTTGCTATGACAAAATTCCTGACAAGACTCAACCTAAGGAAGGTTTTAGCTTAGCTCACAGTTCCAGGGAATACAGTGCACCATGATGGTTGTGGGGAAGGCACTGCCATGGGAGGAGGAGGCTGGCCACACTGAATCCTCAGGAAGTAGAGTGCAATGAATACTGTGGTGTGGAGCTTTATGAAGTCCAGGACCCCAGCCCATGGAATGGCATTGCTCATAGTTAAGATGGGTCTTCCCACCTCAATTAGCCTGATCTAGAAAAATCCCTCACAGACAAACACAAGGTTTGTCTCCAAGATGATTCTAGATCCTGTCGAGTGAACAATGTTAACCATCACAAGTTTAGCAGTATTATTATAGCATTTCTAACTTCAAACATCTATCTGTAATTTACACTTTTTAAACTGGGCCTAAAGGGACGGAGATAGCTCATCAGTTAAGAGCACTGGCTGCTCTTGCAGAGGACCAAGGTTCAATTCCCAGCACCCACATGGTGACTAACAATCATCAATAATTCCAGTTCCAGGGGATCCTACACCCACTTCTGACCTCCAAGGGCACTGCACAACATGGGTGCACCTACCTACAGGCAGGCAATACACTCATACACATAAAATAAGAATAATTTTTTTTAAAAATCAGACTTAAGGGCCGGGTATGGTGGCACACACCTTTAGTCCCAGCACTCAGGAGGCAGAGGCAGGCGGATCTCTGTGGGTTCAAGGCCAGCCTGGTCTACATAGTGAGTTCCAGGACACCTGGGGCTGCAGGAGACTCTGTCTCAAAAAGACAAAAAAAAAAAAAAAAAATCGGGTTAAATGATAAGAAATTTGAAGTTTACTGTACTGGTTCAATTTCCACCTTCCTATTTTAAATGGACTTCCTCCGTTTATCCTTCTTTCCTCCTTTCTTTCCTCTTTTCCATCTTCCTTTTTTCTTACTCCTCTTCTTCCCTTTCTCCTTCCAAAAAGTATGTATTAAGTGTTTACTGTACACCAGGCACTGAGTTAGATCCTGGAGACCAAGGTACAATAATTAAACACTTAATATTTCATAGAGTGAAAGAAAAGCAGTTAACATGTATTTGATAAATGTTGCAGGAGAAAACACACTAAGTAAGAAACTGTGACACTAGATTTTAGCTTCCTTTTCCTTTCTATCCTTTCCCCCTCACTTTGCCTTCCCTTCCTTTCTTTTTGTTGTTTGGAGTTGGTTTTGGGACAGGCTCTCCCTGTGTCGTTGAGGCTGCCCTCAAACTCCTGAGCTTTCAGCCTCCCAGGAGCCGAGACCAGGCTCACCCAGCAGTGGTCTTTCTCATTCTAAGCATGTGCTCTACCCTAACCTTTACCCCTAGCCGTACAACATGGCTTTAAGATACTCCCTAAGAAACAATACTTAAAGTGGGCTACTTTCTCAGCATCATTCCACTTTTAGTATGTGCTATAGAAGCAAACATAATTATTAGCATCAAAATGAAAGTCCAAAATGAATCATCAGAGATATCTGTTCACAAGATACTTGACCATCAAAAAATATACAGCCCAGAGGACTGAGCATTATGTTAAAAACAAAGGCCTGTGAGATGGTTGGGGGATAAAAATGCTTGCCACACAAACCTAATGACTTAAGTTCAATCCCCAGAACCATGGAGAAAAGAGAAAACCAACTCCCAAAAGTTGATTTATGTGTGATCTCCACATATAAACCATGGCATGTGCACACCGCCCTCCACATGCACATCACACACACACACACACACACACACACACACACACACACACTAATAACAAATTAAAAAATATTTTAAACCTACAAAACCCCTCAAAGGTGGGCATAGTGGCTCACACCTGCAATCCCGGCACTTTGAAGGCTAAGGCAAGAGGACACCTGCAAATTCAAGATCAGTCTGGGCAACATAGTGAGTACCAGGCCAGCCAGGGCTACAGAGCACGACTCTGTCTCAAAAAAAAAAACAAAAAAAAACAAAAGTCCCTGGTGATGTGCACATTATTTAGCTGAAGAGCATGTCTCAGCCTCAGTTTCAATGAAATTTAGGGAAGGACTGTTTTGCAAGGATTAGATTAAATTCAAGGATAAGAAAATATCTGTTATACATATAACCTGATGCAAAAAGCACCTTTGCATTTTGACTACCTAATGGACTCAGGATGTTCTAGTTGATTTTTAAAACACAACCTAAAGAAAATCAAGACTAAAGGAAGCAATTTTGTACTCTTGGTTTCTTGAAATTATGACAAAATTAGATGGTTTCCTGCTGAGTGCAAGAATACTGCTGATCTGTGTATCAATTTTAGCACATATTTAAAACAATTACTTGGAACTGCTGATGCTTTGCTGATTAATCCCATTACAAAACCTATTTTATAGGTTTAATGATTATCTTTATTATCGTCTACAATATGTAAATTTAAAAGAATTAAAAGGTTTCATATGACAGTAATGAAACTATAAAACTTTGACTCGAGCTGGAATGGTACTGTTCCCTAGCGTATACATGGCCCTGGTTTTAGTCTCCAGCACTGCAGGGGTGGAAAACTGACTATTGAACGGATGTATTAAAAAATCTACTTCCTCTCAGTAGCCCTTTAATCTGTTTTCTCATGAATCTGTAAATAAACTAACTTTTCTTTTGTAGTTTTATGTGCACATAAGTAATCATGGTCACATGATCACTACATTATTG